ACACTCCCAAGGAGAAGGTCACAAATTCGAAAGTTACCCCAGTCAAGAATATTGACATTTAACAGAACGGATACTATGAGAAAAAAGAAAGTGCAACAAAAAAAATCATCACTAAAATATAAAATCAGAACCTAATTATAGTCTTTAAAAGTTACAAAATTATAATTTTGACCAATATCCTTATTTTAGTCATATATTACATATTATTTCTTTTTATTATTAATAATACTAAAAAATGCATTTTTCTAGTTCTGTTATTTGTGTAACTTGTAAATATATTTGCAAGATATAGCCATATAGGACTCAACAGATCTTTTTTTTTCAATTTGAATATTATGATGTTTTTAAATAACATTATATAATACATTATACATAGTATTGAATTAAAATATTTAAAATAGTTGTAGGGAAATTAAAATAAAGGATAAAAACACAAAACGCCTTTTCACGCCTCAACCCCGCCTAAGCCCGCTTAGGCTTCAAAGGCTTAAGGCTTCGTTGTGCCGTCTCGGCGCGCCTTACGCCTTTTAGAACATTGCCGGTGACATATAATTACACGTAAATTGCTTATAATATTTACAAGCCAATGGATCATTTTTTTCAATAGTTGGGATTATTTTGAGAAAATTGATATTGAGGATTATTTCAAGCAGATCACTAATAATTAGGACTATTCATGTCCATTTTTCCAAGCTTAGCTACACAAAAACAATACCTACATGAGTTACAGTATATTACTCTACCATCAATTTTTTCATTTCATGTGCCGGGCGTGTTTGGCATTCAGCAGTTAGCGGTTAGTGAATAGCGGGTTATGTTAGCGGGTTGTCAATAGCAGATTCAGTTAGCGGGTTTGACTAGCGGAATAAATTGATGGGTTGTTAGAAGGTGTTTGGTAATTTAGCTGTTTGCTCATAAAATTTGTAGAAAACGCCATTTTTTTCAAAACGCCAATCCAAAACTTTCCTATTAACACCGTTTTCATTTCGATGTTGTTGTCCAAAAACGCTAGTGCCAAACTGCTATTTACCAAACAGCCTTTTCACTTATTGAAAACGCTGAAAGTGGTCAAACCGTCATTTTTCGGCTGAAACGCCGTTTACCAAACACCCCGCTGTCTTTTACACTTAAAAGCTAAGAGAAAATACACTTCCGAATCTATTATTGAACTCAAAAGGACAAAAAATTATTAAAAAAATAGTCTCTAATATTGAAGTGAATATGTCTTTTACACTTAAAAGAGAAAATACACTTCAAATCTATTATTGAACTCAAATGGACAAAAAAAATATTAAAAAAAGATAGTCTCTAATATTAAAGTGAATATGTCTAGATTAAATGGTTCTTTCCCCTCTCTTTTCAACTATGACCTTCATAGTATTTTAATTAATGAAGACATATGGGCCGCTTTCTACTATAAGTCTATAACCAAGACACACTATGAGCTTTGAAGAAAGGTTATAGACACATTTAAAACCTCTTATAGTTTCGGTGTGGGACATTTTGGCTAAAGACGAGCTAGCACCGGGTGACATCGATCATCCTCCCCAATTTCCAAACAGTTTGCAGCGGCATGTGCTTTGCCTTTTCCGATCGATCCATTTTTCTGGCACGGTGACGGCAGCGCTAATTTCTTTTGTTAGTATGGCGGTCGGAAATTGAATCCGTGAGGGCAGAAAACATCATCGAACTTTTGTTAGTATGGCAGTCGGAAATTGAATCCGTGAGGGCAGAAAACATCATCGAACCCACGATTCAAATTGACGAACAAACTACTTTTTAACCGCATATTTTTGCTCCTGGGTGTTCCTCTTGCTTGGGTGGGTTTTTGTCTCATATTCTTTTTCTAATTGCTTTCTGGTTAGCCAATTGCTTGGGTGGGGTGAGCCGCTATTTGATCAGATGATACAAATACGGGGCCATATTTATAAGTATTAAAAGTTATGTAGGTGTATTTATAAATATTAAAAGTTACAGGGGTGTATTTATAAATATTAAAAATACAATTTTTTTTTTTAAAATAGACATATTATCCTTTGATGCCTACTCATTTATGGCATTGGAACATTTTACATTTTCAAGATACTTAGAAATAAATTCATATTTTATCTCATATACACTAGTGCACCTCGAAATAAAAATATAGTCAATAAGTCATTAATTTAAAATGAGAAATAAGTCAAACAACTACAATTTTGAAATTAAAAATGCAAGTACTCAAAGTTCTAGAATGATGGAGATAGAAAACTATATTTTAAATGTTCTGATACATATTTCCATTGGAGCTATTAATTTCCTGGGATAATTAGAATTAGCATTAGGAGGATGGTGAATTAGGAATAAGCCCATTACCTGTGTACCACATAAAAGCAAGGTAAAAATTATATTTAGCTTTTCATTTTTTAAGAATTTTATTATGTAAATTTTAAGAGTTTTTTTTAAAAAGTTTTTTTGGAAGATTTTTTTAAAATGTTGATACGGATATCTGTCAGGATACGGGTATCCCTAAGGATACGAGTATCCGAAAATTTAAAATAATTACCAAAAAAATGGAAACTTTTAAAAATTGAAGATACGGCCCGGGAACGTACGGTACGGGTATCCTAGAGTATTTGGATACGGGAGCGTTTCCGATACGCCGATACGGCACCCTAGTGAAGTATCCGTGCTTCATAGTCTAGGATACCCGTACCGTACGTTCCCGGGTCGTATCTTCAATGTTAAAAGGTTCCATTTTTTTTGGTAATTATTTTAAAATTACGGATAATTGTATCCTGACGGATACCCGTATCAACTTTTAAAAAAAATCTTCAAAAAAACTTAAAAAAAAAACTTAAAATTTACATAATAAAATTCTTAAAAAATGAAAAGCTAAATATAATTTTTACCTTGCTTTTATGTGGTACACAAGTAATGAGCTTATTCCTAATTCACCATCCTCCTATCGCTGCCTTGATTAATCACCAATAACCTTTAATATTATAAATTTATAATCCTTTATCTAATCGCTAATTCTAATTATCCCAGGAAATTAATAGCTCCAATGGAAATATGTATCAGAACATTTAAAATATTGGTTTCTATCTCCATCATTCTTGAACTTTGAGTACTTGCATTTTTAATTTCAAACTGTGGTTGTTTGACTTATTTCTCATTTTAAATTAATGACTTATTGACTAAATTTATATTTCGAGGTGCACTAGTGTATATGAGATAAAATATGAATTTATTTCTAAGTATCTTGAAAATGTAAAATGTTCCAATGCCATAAATGAGTAGACATCAAAGGATAATATATGTCTATTTTTTTCAAAAAAAAATTGTATTTTTAATATTTATAAATACACCCCTGTAACTTTTAATATTTATAAATACACCTACATAACTTTTAATACTTATAAATATGGCCCCGTATTTGTATCATCTGATCAAATAGCGGCTCACCCCACCCAAGCAATTGGCTAACCAGAAAGCAATTAGAAAAAGAATATGAGACAAAAACCAACCAAGCAAGAGGAACACCCAGGAGCAAAAATATGCTGTTAAAAAGTAGTTTGTTCGTCAATTTGAATCGTGGGTTCGATGATGTTTTCTGCCCAAGACCGGTGTGTCCCAGTTACTAAGCACCGCCCCGGTATGTACTCCTCATGGCTTCAAGTATTGCGGTGCTACCACACCTAACTGAGATTCAATTTCCGACCGCCATACCAAAAAAGAAATTAGCACCGCCGCCATCGTGCCAGAAAAATGGATCGATCGGAAAAGGCAAAGCAAATGCCGCTACAAACTATTTGGAAATTGGGGAGGATGATCAATGTCACCCGGCGCTAGCTCGTCTTTAGCCAAAATGTCCCACACTGAAACTATAAGAGGCTTTAAATGTGTCTATAACCTTTCTTCAAAGCTCATAGTGTGTCTTGGTTATAGTGGTATGCGGACCATATGTTTTCATTAATTAAAATAGTATGTCTAAGTTTAAGGGTTCTTTCCCCTCTTTTTACAACTTGGATCTTCAATTCTCCATGAAGGTCTCTCTTGAAAAGAGAAAGGAAAAAACCATTTAATCTAGACATATCCACTTTTCAAGAGAAGGGAAAACCCCATTTAATCTAGACATATGCACTTCAATATTAGACCCTATCTTTTTGTAAAATGTCCATTTTGAGTTCAACAATAGATTCGAAGTGTATTTTCTCTTTTAAGTGTAAAATGTACGGTATGAAATTAAAAAATTGATGGTAGAGTAATACTCCGTATACTGTAACTCATGTAAGTATTGTTCTTGTGTAATTTAAGTTTTTTCTCTTATAAGTGTAAAATGTACAGTATGAAATTAAAAAATTGATGGTAGAGTAATACTCTGTATACTGTAACTCATGTAGGTACTGTTTTTGTGTAATTTAAGTTTTTTTATTGTATTTACATTGACAGCATACTAAAGTTAAACCAGCCTCTTGTATGAAAATACATTCTCTAAATTGTTGTATTTAAACCAGCATATTGTTGTATTTACATTGACATTTGACACCATACATTTTTCTCTTCTTTACACAAATATCAATACCACAATTTTTACTTTTCTTATATCACACCTAATTCAAAGTTGGCAAAGTCCCCGTGAAGAAAGTTATATACTTTCTTATGCATCATGAAACATAATGTAATAAACTAAGTGCATGAAAAATAATTTATTACTCCTGAAGCTTATAAGTGCATGAAATTGAGATACACAAATGTTACACTTATTTCTTCTAATCTAAACTTCTCAAACTTTATCATAAACCTGTATCGCCTCACAAGTCACAACCAATAAGAATTTCATTCTCTTTCATATTATCATTACTTATCCAATTTGATCTTAATGTTGCTTTTTCTAACTTGCATTTTAGAGTTAACGAGTATTCAGTCTTTTAAAAGAATTAATTCTTTAATTGAACTATGACTCGACCAAGATCTTGTCTAAAAAACTATGTAATACTACTTATGTTACTACTTATGTATTTATTGTGAACCAATTAATAAATTAATAAGTAGTGTATAAATAGATTTCTCGGCTATATTTTAGGGGTTATTCCCTTAGTATTACTAAAATAAAGCTAGTCTCCAGAAAAGTGATCACAATTACATTTGGACAAAAATGTGAATAATGCATAGTGACATTCACGCAGCTAATCTCCACAATGACCTCAACCACAATGACGCCAACACAGTGACACCGCTATAGTGACACCACCACCGCCCATCGACACCCATCGCCGCCATAGTGACGCCAGGAATAGTGACATTGCCATAGTGACGCCTCCACAGTGAGGCACAATTACTCCGGCCACCACCAATCACAACCACCTGCCGCCACTCCACCTTCGCACTTCCATTGTCACTCGCCATCCCACTCCCCCAACCCCAGAAAACTGCCACCTCTAGCTCTTGCCCTTGCCCCCTGTAGCCCCGCCCCCTGACCTCCCCCAACCACCTCTCAAGTTCAACTCCTACCAGCCGCCCGTTCACCCTCCCCAGCCCCTGCTTTAACTAACTCAGATCTGGACACAACGATGAAGATTCAATTCCCCCACAAGGCCACAATCGAATAGAATAAGAAGAAATATAAGCAAGGGGCATGGCGATGACCATAGAAATTACGGCGTACAGGGACGATGGCGACACTGGCGTGAAGGGACGACGGCAACACCGGCGGGAAGGGACGATGACGACACCGACGTGGATGGACGACGGAGACACCGGCTAATCCCCTACCCAGCTATTGCACATCCTCCTACAACTTACCTAGCGCCGTCGTGACCTGTCAACCCAGCCAGCCCTCGGAGCCGTCGTTGGATCTGACGATTACAAACAGCGACGAAGAGGTGAGCGATGAGGGTCGCCTAGGAGTGGCCGCTGGCCAAAGGTCTTCGCTCTCTTTCCACTGTTCGTCAAAGCTCGATGTTTGTTGCCGTTCTCACCTGGAGCTGGACCGCCTGGACGCAAGAGCCGAAACGGTAAACCTGGAGGCTCGAAGGAAAGACGGGTCACTTTTGTGTGTAAGCCCAAATCAGTCATATTTTTGTCAATTGAAACTTCAATAGTAATATTTGGGTCATTGTTTCTAGATTTTATTGGGGTTAACCGGCCACCGGGACAAGTCATGACAAGTCGGGCCAATATATCAAGATGAGTTTCAAATACTCTACCACTTACACATCCTTCCAAATAGTGGGCTAGGCTGTCCCATGGCCTTTATGGAGCAGGCCAGAAATTTAGTAAATGAGATGAAAGCCACACGCCCACACACTCACACAGGCTCGTGAGCCTACTTTGCAGTAGGGCTGGGAAAAAACTCCCGATTCCCGACTCCTGATCCCGATCCCGACAATCCCGATCCCGATAATCCCGATCCCGACAATCCCGATCCCGACAATCCCGATCCCGACTAGTCGGGAATTTTTCCCGATCCCAACTAAGTCGGGACGGGACCGGGATTTTTTTTTAAAAAAAGTCGGGATCGGGAAAATCCCGACATCCCGACATTATATATATATAATATATATATATATACACACATGTATAGAATTATATATGAATATATAAAAAATGAATATACATTTATAAAAAATGAATATGTATCTAAATAGTTTCATATCTTTTTTAATTACTTATTCCTTACATAGATTAATCTTTTACTACGAGTATCTTACAATATCAAACTTCTAAAACTATTCAACATTTGTCCCAAAATGAATATTCGGGATCCTAACTAAATAGAGATTATTCTTGATCCCGACAATCTAAATCACAACAATATTACAAATTTTGCGGTTCTCATGAACCCTTTAAAAATCATGATCGAGACAAAGATTTTTTTCTTTAGTAAATAATCATAATATGTATTTATACATTATATTCATTGGTCACAAAGTATATGAATGAGTCTACTTAGTTTTGAATTTTAAATAATATACGTTACACATCCTTCTTTTAGTGATTTTTATATAATGTTTGAAGTAAGTTTCACTAAGCCTTGATAGCTTATTCAAAAATTATACTATTAATTAATTGAAGTTGCAAATAAAAATTATTCTAAAAGTATGTACTAGTGTGAATTTGTGATGATAATTATTACAATAAATTTTATAAGTAAATGATGATAAATATGGTATATAACAATGAACAAAGAATAATCTTGAAACCATTAAATATCAAAGTTAGTGTTTAACTAAAGAAATTACATAATTTTATGTTTGATACTTCATTGTCGGGATTTAGCGGGATTCCCGATCGGGATCCCGACTTAATCGGGATTTTAATGTCGGGATCCCGACTTAATCGGGACGGGATACGGGATCCTCTTGTAGTTTGACTCGGGATCGGGACGGGATCGGGATTTGGGCAATCGGGACCGGGATCATCCCGATCCCACCCCTACTTTGCAGTAGGCATAAGAATAGTTAAAACCCTTCATCCACGATTGAATGATTGAATCATTTTGTACTAAGTTTCTATTTGATTTTGCTCTGCAATCATTTCTAAGTTCTCATTGAATCTGTGTTCAGTTAACTTTGCAGATAATGGTAGAATGGCTAAGGACTAAGGTAGCATTGGGCAACTATTCTTTCATCCTGCCGGTTACTTTTTCGGTTTTCTCTGCTCTAGCGTTTTACCTCAGGCCCATTACTGTGTTTTTTAGATTGTCATGCATTGTTACGCAACTGCTTAAACTTGCGAATACGAATCATCCCTTTCGTACCATTACAGCATTACCAAAAGTGTAAAAGGAAATATATTTAGATATGGATAGGCCTGGACTCGGGCCGGGCGGCCCGACCCGGAACCGGCCCGGCCCGGCCACTGTAGCAACCGGCCCGGCCCGGTGGCCCGGTCCACCGGCGGTTAGGGTCGAACCGGCCCGGTGGTTCCCGGTTCCGGGCCCGGGCCTTCCATATGGTGAACCGGCCCGGCCGGTTCGGGCCCGGTCCGGGCCGGAATTAATTTTTTTTTTTTTTTTGAAAATTTTTTATGTTTTGGGTTAGATTAGGTATTTTGGTCCATTTGAGATGGTTTGGGGTGGTTTGGGGTTGAGAAAGAGGGGTAGGGGATTAAATAAAGAAGCCAAAAAAAAAAAAAAATTAATAGGGCGGGTGGCCCGGCCCGGAACCGGCCCGGTCTGGCCCGGAACCGGCCAACCCCGGTTCGGGCTCGGGCCTATATATACTGAACTGAGGCCCGGCCGGGCCCAGGCCCGAGGCCCGAACCGGCCCGGTTCAGTATAAACCCAACTTATCCATTGGCATTCCTTAACTTGAATGAACCCAACTTATCCACAGGCGCTACAAAATTTTCTTTGCCCTAAAAACCATTGCTTAAACATTGTCATAAAGTTAACCATCCTACCCTAATAATGTATACAAAAGAAGGTGGCAAATTGGCAATACCCTTCACAGTAGCTACCTATAATAGTGTACAACCCCAAATACATGCTATACAAGAGTGAAAGCATTGCCTGTGAGGGGGCTGAGTTTGTAAATAACCCCGCAAGGGCACAACTCCAATAACCAAGAAAAAATACACACAATGTACAAGTCTTGTAGGAAGGAAGAAAAATTGAATGCCCTGTTATTGTGCCCTTTTTTTTCTCCTAATTAATACGAATGAATGATGCGATTAAATTAAACCTTTTTATAAGAGCACTTGTTAAAACCGCTTATATTTGGCTTAGATTGGCACACAAAAGGAAGAACTCAAAGTTGGAGGCATCACACAGACCAAATGGGGGCCTGGAGGGTTACAGCTTATATTTTCCTTCTTAACGTTTGGCAAGCCGAGTTGAGGAGGGCGAACATATCCAGAAACTAGTGGCAAACACAACACTGAAATGACTACTCTAGACCCTGCATCATATATACAAAGTACAACCAAGAGAGTAAGTAGGAAAGTTGTTTGATGAAATAGGAATGTAATAGGAAATGGTTTTTTGACCAAGGAAAGAATGACAAATTTCACGGGGAAATAGGAACCTTGTTGTATGGAAAGCTGGACGTGTCCCCTTTTCCTCCCAGCAATCATCCAGTTATCAGAGTTTGCATTGATCTCATATAGAACTTCATCCTGTAGCATGAACATGTAGAAAAAAAAATTAAGATTAGCAATTACTCCCTCTGTTCCAAAATGAAAGGAACATTTGGGTTTTTGACACGACTGTTAATAAAAAATAATGGTCATTATTTTAAATTGTAACCTTCTAAAAGGAAGAAAAAGTAGTTGGGACCACAAAAAGTAAAAGATGAAATGATCATTAAAAATCATGCAGAGGGAAAGTTTAAAACGGTTGAGTTCAAATAAGGGAAATGTTCATAATTTTGAAAGACAAAAAAATAAAAGTGTATCTAACACAGGGACATGTTGCAAGTTTTAGAAGTAAAGATTAGTATATTTTGATAAACAGAAAAGTATATATGGTTAGAAGGTCAACCAAATATTGCAAAAAAACTTACACTTACATTGTCTTCAGAAACTGTGCTTTCATCCAATGTTTTTAACCTTTCAACTCTCCATTCCATGGTTACAAATTGCCCAACTCGTAGACCACTAGAAAGTGGAAGAAACCCAACTGCAAAACAAGGGTCAAGCACAGGTTTCTGTAAAACAAGAGAACTCTGAAAGATCAGCTCCGGTATTGTGTCATCCGGTATATTATGTTCATCAGCCATAGGACAATGAGCTCCGATCATTCTATCCCCCAAAATGCCATACTTAATGTTTAACAAACTTTCTGGGCGCTGGATGTTAGCTTCATCTGCTAAAGAAAAAATATATGAATTGAAGAAAACAAGCTAAAGATTTGACAATGATAGCGGCCATAGTCATAAACTTTTTAATACAAAGCATTTGGAAAGCGAATAATGAGAAGGGTAAGTGAGCGAAGTAGGCTTACCCTTACCCGGAGAATCCTTCAAACATATACTGAATAAGATTGAAGCTCTTGATTTTGGAGATAGTGTCAACGGAAAGAATCCGGAGATTGGTCTTCCATCACTGTTTCCAGTGTGAGAAAATCCATCTTGTAGATCAAGTGAAGCATCATTGATGGTCAATGAAGCTTGCACCTGTGATTGCAGTATCACCTGCCATACACACTTTGTTATATAACAACTCCATTCCTATTTAAAGTTCAATGTGCATCATTGACCATTATTGTTTGCAATGATATATATTTATAGTCTATAATGAATTATTATTTAATTGCATGCCTAGGTGTAGTATATACACACATATGTTAAGATTCAGAGGAATGTAAAATCCTGGACTACAGAATCAAGATTGATTAGTCCCTTGAATAATACAAATAACATAAGCTGAGATTCAGGATATATTAAATCCTGAGCTATACTCTAGTCCCTTTTCTTTATCTTTTCTGGTTAATCAAATCAAAGAACTTAAAAAGATAAGTAATACAAGAATTTATGTGTGTAGAATGACCAACAGTGGCATAGAACAGAAAGCAAGATGGCCTAAACAGAGCATATGGACGACCTGCAAAAGCAGAGTGCCATCATTGCATTTGTCTGTAACACGTATGCTCACACAGAAAGGGTCTGTAAAATGAACAGCCATTGTCCTGCAAGGTTCAAATTAGTGTGAAAAAATCCAGGATAGTGTACATGATAAATTGTGCCAATCCTTGAAAGGGAAGTGAGACAAGGGGGGAAACTACAAGCCTTTCAAATATTTGATTTCGAGATACTCCAAATTCAAGTTTTAGAGCTACCGTTCTCATCCCATCTACAACACTCTGGCGCTGGGATATGCCTTCTCCTGAAAGGAATAGTTAAAAGTGTGGTTAAGCGGTCCTTGATAAAAACGCCTGCCACCATCCAGTATTTTGATCATTAGGAAACTTACTCAATCCGGTCCTTGTTAAAAGGAAAAACTTTGGTTTTCACATAGACCAAAGTACTCCCTCCGTCCCGCAAAATAGTTCCCGGTTTCCTTTTTGGTCCGTCCCAAAAAATAGTTCTCATTTCCCCTTTTGGAAAGTTTTGTGTGGCTCACATTCATTTACCTTTTTCTTACACAAATACAACCATACATTTCCACTTTATTCTCACTTTCTTAAACTCTGATCCACATCAATGTGGGAACTATTTTATGGGACGGAGGGAGTAATTATTAAAAGCATTTAAAATATTCTTCACTATCCTTTTATCCTTTGGTTTCCATCATTTGCAATGGAGCCAAAGATTCACTATTTTTTGGTTTGAGAATATGATGGAATATAGCAAAATGGCTCACTAAAATGTCTACGCTTCTTTGTTGTGAAGCAGCAGTCAGTTCATGAAATTTACGACGCGAATTTCACCATGGGCCATCCGGAAACAGCCTCTCTGTGCTTTAGTACAGGGGTAAGGTTGCGTACATCCGACCCCCCCCTTACCCCATCATAGGTGGGAGCCTTTGCGGCACTGGGGTAATGATGATGATGATCCTTTTATGCCCATAAACATTTTCAGTAGAATATGTGTAGGAGTATTTAAAAGGGACAGTGACAGCACAGCACAATATTAGACATTACCTGCATGAGTTCCTTTAGCAAGGCAATCACTGACAGCACGGACAGGGATCCATAAGACAGAAGCTATATTGCTAGCCCAGTCAGGCAGCTCAATTTTTCCATCTTGAAGAGACAACTGCTTTGCTTCTGTGGTAACTTGGGTAGCATCATCTTCCGAACCTTCCTGGTCACTCAAATCAGATTCATTATGAGAGCCATCTGTATGCTTCTCGATTTCAATTCCATGGCACTGTTCAATAGTCAAACCGGGTCCAGTGTCTATGTGAAGTATAGCACCTTTAAGGGAGTAGCTCATTGGTTTGACAACTATTCCTACCCACTGAGGCTCATTGATCAGCAAAGCAGATGAGACAGCTGCCACTAGATCAACCAGAGACCTTGGGTTTAACACCTTGCACCAAAAGCAGAGACAATAGAAGTAAGATCATATGATGTGAATGTATACAGGAATATAACAATTGGCAACATATTCACCAGACATTGATAGAACAAAAAGAATAGTGAAGACACAAATTCAGTCATGAACAGTTCAATAAGAGGAGTGAAGATAGACTAAGGCCACAGATCATGCATGCTTACCTTCAAGATGGGCCTTATTGGTTTCTCGTAACTCATAAAGTCATCAGTATCAGCAGGTCCTCCTTTGGAAAAACTATGAGATCTGAATCTCAGTTGACCAATTTGTCCCGTAAGAACACTCAAAACATAAGAACCAGGTTTCTGTGGAGGTAAAGAAACCGTGATGATATTCCTTCCAGGATATAAAATTGTAGCGCCAGAGCGTTTTATAGCCTAGATAAGATTTTAGAATGATGAGAAAGGAGCACAGATACAAATTCTTTTAAAAAAATTGAATAGAGGAGGCACCATAATCAATGAAAAGGTACCTTAACACCATCATCGGTGATATTAGTGGCTGTAAGAGTGAGACTCAGTGATTCAAGAGCAAGATCGTCAGGGAATCCACTCCAAAGAGTTACGGAGAGGGAACCAGGATCCCCATCACATAGCTCAAGAGGAGGTCCAGGATTGCCAGAAAATGTTATGAGGGAAGACACATCTAGAGGTACAGGGTGCTCCATTTCACTATGACCAAGACGGACAACTTCAGACTGAAATGCCTGGCGCTCCTTCGTCAAAAACAATCCTTTATCCAATGATAGCAGTCTCACACAGGAGGAGAGATAACCAGCTTGATCGTTCAGTATCTTTTGGCACTCTGCTAAATTGGGAAGGACTTCAGCCAACAGGTCCTGCCATCCTTCACCGGCATAAAGAGCGCAGACCTTCTCGTACAACTTGGCAGCAATATCAAAGTTTCCAAGCTTATGGTAGACAGATGCAATTTCACCATCAAGAACAACTCCATGTCTCTTCCACCAAGATCGATGATAGTTTTCAGCAGCACCCTTTGACAGCTCCAAATATTTTTGCTGCAAAACAAAAAATAATGTCAAGAGAGTGAGGAAAGGGAATGTTGAATATAATTCCATATGGAAGTGTCAAAACTCAAAAGAATCACTCAATCGAGACTCCTGGAAATCTGGAATATGAATTGATACAATGTTTTTGTTGGGTAAAAATAAAAACTCTGACAGATTTCCTCTTACTAAATAGCTCTAGCTAGTGTGAGCAGTCTGAGCACATTCATACACAGATTCTGTTTAAATTAATCACCTCAAATTCCTCAGGAGAGGACAATGATTTCCATAGTTTGTTATCAGAAATCGTATTTTGTAAAGCATGCTCAGCAGCAACAAATATTTCTGAAAGCCTCAAAGGTCGACTGATGGAACTCTCAAATCCAGGTGAAGAATTAGTTCGAGATATGGATATTGCATTTACTTTGGGTGATGGAGATATTGAACCTGAGCTGTCAGCAAATGACCATTGGGTGAGAATTTGATTCATCAAGTAACATAAATGAATAGATAATAGAAAAGATTGAAGACACGCTTATCTATCCAGTTAATTTGTCGATCAGCTATTTCAAAAGGCTTTCATAGAAAGCTTCTTGTAAATTAGCCCTTTCACTTACACTTAATATAGCAAATTGGCTCTTTACCAAACACCGAAATTAGCTGTTTGACATACTAGCCTACTAGGTTGAGTTGAAAAGGCTGAAAACTCTTCAATAAGTTATCAACCAAAAAACTTGTGCACATAAATGTAGACAAGAATATTTCAGCTCCATAAAAAGAACCTAAGCGAACCATTATAGACAAAAGATCAGCAAAGAGTATTAACTAAAGTAGAAGTATTAAATTCATAAATAGCACATTACTAAATGCGTTTATGATTTGTTATATATTTATATACATGCAATCAGTGGCGGAGCCAGCGATTCATTTGAGTGGTGTCAACTTTTTGAACTAAATTCTACGTATATGACATGATATTAAAATTTTTTGTTGATAATTATACGTTTTCTACAATTATTCGAGCCAACATTTTGGTTTTAATACCAAAATACAACTATGTATGTACAACCTTTAGATCAACTCACCCGATAGGAACGTTGAGTTTGTAGGTTGTAAATTATGAGTTTGTAGTTTGTAGTTTGTGAATTATGAAATATCCCTTATATATATTTGACTTTGTATATATGTTTGAATAATTGAGTATGAATTAATTATTTATAGTCTGTTTTACTAGTGATAATCGGTGATAAGTTCAGTATGTATTATCTAACATTATGCTCCCTTAAAAATATTGTATATGTTTCTCATCATTGATACATTAATTTCAAACACTTTATTGATAACAAATTTTAATATAACTAATTAATAAAGTAGTGCTACGATAATAAATTCTTCAAATATTACATGTGTAGATACCATCATACTCCCTCCGTCCCGCTACAATTGTCTCATCTTTCTTTTCCAGTCCGTTCCACTTAGATTGTCATATACCAAATTTGGTAAAATTTTTGTGGTTGTAAACCTCTCCTAATTTATTCCTACTTTATCAATTCAATATCAATCACATAAATTCATTTTTGTTATACCGATCGGTATAACAAAAATGAATTTATGAATAGTAGGATGGAGGTAGTACTAGATAATCTTCTGATATGAATAGTTTTTTATGATACACATTATCTTATCAAAATTTAGAGTCAACGTAATAATCGACCAATTCTTCCATTTGTCACCTTAATCAAGGTGTTTTTTGTCAACTTTAAATTTAAGAATCCTTATATTTGTCTTGTTTAAGTATTCTAGTGCATCATTTATTGAAATGAGTAAAAGATATTATTCATGGCTAGATTTTATTACATGTAAATTTGTTTTAGTTAAATAAATATATTTTGACTCTTTCAAAAATATTTATGAAATAAACTTAATTATTTACATAAATACCACTAAAATTTACTATAGTATAGTGTTGAACATAGGGTTACTATAACTAAAGTTTCTAATGTAGTCACAACACTTAAGACATTACTTTTGTAAATAACTTTTATTTTAGTTATAAATATGTAATTGTTTCATATATATATATATATATATATATATTGACCCTCATTTCGTTAATATAGGTGGTGTCAAATTGATTTTTAGAAAATATACATTCATATATAATTACAAAAAATATTTGAGCGGTGTCAATTAATTATCATTGTATTTATATAGGTGGTGTCAAATTAATTTACAGAAAATATATCTCTATATATAATTGCAAAAATTATTTGAGTGGTGTCAATTGACACCACACCCTTATATGTGGCTCCGCCACTGCATGCAATACCATGCATTATACACGTGTTGTGTGTGTGTGAATGAGAGAAATGCAACTCTTAAAACAGACAGACATCAAATCAACCAAACAAAAAACATGTACACATTACCCATCAGTCGTGTTTGGCTGACCATCAAATATTTCGAACACATTTCCAGCAGAAAGAGAAGCTCTTCGACGATTTGCTTCGCGCAACAATATAGATGGTTCCAGAGGAAGTGGTTTCTTCTGAATGCCAAAATGTTTAGGCCTTAAGGAGTCTTGAAGAATTGTCTGCAAATGCAATCACATGAATGGCAACTAAGGCTATTTATAGTACTCATAAAAATGAAATCATGTAAAATAAATTATATGTTTGATACATTTAATCGTCCTCAATGTGCAAAAAAGAGCTGTGACTTAGGAGCATATATATACATGTGTGTGGGAACTTGTGAACATATAGATGAAATAATTGCCCAAAATAAGACTAAAACATAATCACTCTATTCAAATATGACCACTTTGTTTTATTTCTTATATGTTACACCTATTTGGGCATATATATACATATATATATAGATAGATAATCATATACATATCTCTATATAAATGCGTACATTTCATATATATCACTGTTTTTGAGAAAGTGAAAACTATGTGGTTGAAATTTGTTTAGAGAAACAATACCAACCATTAAATCCCTACCTTAAGAGGAAAGTGAAGATAATTTTGGAATGGACAAAAAAGGAATGAATCAAGATAAAAATGTAAGGTGTTAGAGACTGTATAACCAAGCCCTGTCCGTCGATCCGAAATTTTTGGTCCGTTTTTGACGAACAAGTTTTCCGTACAGTTTCCGTACAGATTGGGCCGTACGGATGTGGGCCACGCGCGTCCTAATTTAATTAGGGGTTATGTTTTACTCTCTATAAATACAACCTCTCTCCCTTGTAATCCCTTGATCCGAAAATATTAATAACATTTCTGGCTTGGTAGCGCCCTCAGACGTAGTCATTCGTGGCGAACTGGGTTACCAAATTTTCGTGTGTTCTTTATTGTTCTTCGTGTTGCGTGAGTTAATTCCTAACAAAAAGGGACAAGGTAGTATACTAGCATTTTCTAACGTATATGCATGTGCGTTTGTGCATATATAGAGAGAGGGAGGGAGGGAGAGATAGGAAATATAGAGTAGCATTAATGTTAGGCCAGCCTGCGGGAACCCCATCAGGCTGGATTCGTTTTTGGCTAAAAATGAATTCAATGATCCAATTTTTTTGTTCATTAATACCAATTGTTAGTTTCAACGGTTAGACCATCAAAAAATTAATTATTACAGAGCCTAACTCTATTTTTTTGTATGAATTCATCTTAACTATTAGATAAGTTTTAGAGGTGAGAAAGTGAGTAATGTGTGTCTACCTTTGAGGTAGTTACTTCATGGAGGGACAAACACTTAGAAGAGGTGAACCTTTGAACAAATTTAAGATCTGAAGGTTGACGCTTATAATTGATGCTAATGAACCACAAATTTTGGACCATTGTAGTTATTTCATACCCAAAAATGAATTAGGCCTGACGAGGCTCCTATCAGGCCGAGCAGACACGGATGCTACTATACACAATTACACACACACATTGGCACTATGCTTTTTGGATTAAATTACACTGCCAATTAATTCTATACAATTAAATGGCACTATAATTAATGCCACCTACCGAAGCTAAGTGGGGTATAATGATATATAATACATACATTGACACACACATATCTGCAATTTTGAAAAAGAAAATGCTAACATTTTCAAACATCTTTCAAAAAAAAGTCAACTAAGAAAACTCCCTACATACCCTTTTAATATTTTGGTTTGACTTGACACGTATATCAAGAAAATGAAATTGTGTGGTTGAGATTTGTTTGGAATGGAAAAAACCAATATCATCCAGACAATTCTTTCATATAGAGGAAACAAGGTGATTAGTATGGGACGAGCCCAAAAGGAAAGGGAAAAGATTATTAAATGAGCCAGAGCGAGTAATATTTTGTCTAGATGTTTATTCTTCAAAAGTCAAAACAAAGTCAAAAGAGTATTATGTCATGATAAAGTAAATAGAAGTATCACGATGAAATGATAACAGTTCAACCCAATATACTGAAATTGATTCATAATATGCATTACTCTTTGAGTGCTTTCAAGAAAGTATTTTCAACAATACGAAGTAGAGATTTAGAGGCTACTTCATAGACACACCTTTTCTTTCACAAGCACCTGGGATGAAGCATCAGGTGGCAGAGAAGGCCAAACTGCTGGTTTAGGCCAGGGTAGCATGCTAAGTGAAGCACTGATCAGGAGAAAGAAGTGACATGAGCTAGGAAGATGTCAAAGAAAAATGTCCAACAGATTTTTTTCCAGTGCAGTACTCACCTGTTGACAGGACTTCTTTCAATGTGTGAACTATATCCCATTAAATAAGCAAGGCGCATGAACTGCCACAAAGATAAACCATGTCAGTAGGCAGATCACAAACAAACCTTTACAAAGAAGATTAAACCGCATGTTCCTGAAGGGGTGAAAAGTGTTGCACTAGTCGCCTCTTTGCATATATTGCGGCCTATCATTACTAGATAAAACTAATTGAGTGAAAGTTTCTGCCCATTGTAGACCTAACTACAATGAGCTCTGGTATCCAATAATTTTTCAACAAGAAAAAGATACTTAACATAGATAATGTTACCTTAGTACGGCATAAGGAATAGAGATCCCCTTTTAGACGGTAGAATTCTCTTTCTGTATCAGGTGATACAAGTCCATCTTTGTATCGAGAAGTGGTTGCATTAATTATATCCAAGCAGCCAGTTATTACCCACACTTCACGCATACAGAATGGCAACCTATTCTGAGAAAAAGAGAAAATAAATACAGGCAATAACATAAGATAATATATGGTATAATATTAAATCCTCGGGGATGAACACAGTTTTATGTTATAAGATTAATTGACGGAACATAAGTTACCTCATGGAGGGCCAATCCCTTAGAAAAGCTAATTATAAATGAATAACCCCTCGAGGCAACTTCAAATGGACGATTCAGCTTAAACAACAGCTACATGTTACAAAGAGACAGGGGAATAGATTCAACAGAAGTTTCAGGTTTTGTATAATAAAGAAAAGCAGTGCAACAATCAGTTTATTAGCAGGAAGCGCACAATAATTAACCATATCAAACCCATCTCGAATTTAATCAAGAACATCAGCAATAATAGTCTTATTCTCAGATCACTAGGGTCAGGCGAGTCGGCTATATCTAAACCAAGAAATATTCAGAAGTCATCAATAAGTAGCTTCAAATTTCAATTTAATAATGTGTTTCTTTTTTGCATCTTCAGGTGAGTCATCCAATGTTAACAGACAATCCTATTTCAGTTTCTATCTTTTTTTTAAAACCTGGTTGGAGAACCACCTAACTATGTGGGGTAAATGCCGGGGAACATTTATCGAGTTTATCAAACAACACGAAGTTCAAGACATAAGCGGGGGGGCTAGGCCTGACCCGCTAGCTGAAGAGCCGGCCCTTAAATAAAGGCCCAAAACAGAAAATTAAATGGAAAATTAAATGGAAAATTTACAAGAATAATGAAAAGTCCCAGGCCCGTGTATTAGCATCCGTCCAAATGAACCTGACCCAGCACGGGAATATAAAAGGAATGTCTTTCCTTTTTGTCGTCATGCACCCCTCAGTTAGGGTTTCAGCCGATTCCTTTTTCCGATCGTCGAGATGAACCCTCTCCTAGTGAGTCTCAGTTTGTATCTATATTAACGTAACCTTAGTCGTTTTAGCGTGCAAGTTGACCCCCCCCCCCCCCCCCCGACAGACTGTCACTTAGAATCACAAAATAAATTTGTAATGATGTATATATCCTCTTTCCAAGACCCTAACATACTACAGGATAGTTGATATAACCACCAAGTCCAGATGTGAACTTTATCACGAAAGTTATCAAAGATTGAATACAGTAAGTGAATTGGTTTATGTTCATAAACTACCAGCCTAAGCTAATTGCTGATTCTCACTCTTTCACACCTTCGCTTGGCAGGAAAATAGATATTGCCTGAACTCAAACTCCCTAAATGAGTCATCTTGCACAATCTGCATCAGTGGCTTGTTTGACGGGTTGAGAAGTGCAGCCTGATCATCCCCACGCTCCAATCCTCCAAAGTCTCTCCTTTTCCCATTCATATTAACTGGTTCAGAGACAGTGTAAATTATCATATAAATGATCAGCCAAAGCCTCAAGAATTCAACTATAACCTCAGACTGAGAAGGCAACAATTAAATGAATGTTACCGGTTTAAAACATGTAATCACATAAACAACAGATCATAAAGAATAATTTCCACATTCCATCTCAGCTAAATGCCTAAATCTCAAGCTGTTATACTTACACGCATTCATTGCCTCGCAGAGACAGTTGTGTTAAACACACCCCATCATGTGAAAGCCAAACATCATTAAATGGTTCAAATATCAAGCTATATACCAGATACACAGTATGTAGAAAGTAACATGTTACCATGATACGTGGTATGTGAACCTTCCTTGAGTCGTATATACTAAATATTATTTCAAAATATATGTTATACCTTTTGGTTAAAAAACTACTCTCCAATAATAGAATGTTCATACTTCATATCCCTAAAAGTAATTTGATAGTATTACACAAAGTAATAGGAATGTATTTGGTGACAAGTGTAGGGGTCTATCCAAACACAAAAGAAGTTTATACTCTCCTTTCTATTTTGTTAAGAATTTATTTGAAGTATCGAATATTTTTATTCTTATTTCAAATATTCTAAAACCTTCCTGCAGTACACTTTTACAATACGATATCCCCCCCTCACTCCCCCCAGAAACAGTGACAATACACTCGTAATTGTCTGACGTAAAATATTCATTTATTGTTACATCAAGCTATCACTATGTGACCACAGAATCTCAACCTTTTAATTAATATTTAGCTTTTTTTCTCTTTTTGAGACGCTTTGGTGAATAAGCCTAGAGTATAGATGTTGCAAAAACTGGATTTTCATTGTTCTCTTTAGATTAGTCACAGAAACAAGGAGTGTATTTACTGTGGGGTGTACATAAACGGAGGGAGTAGTTATTGTAACATACGGCTTTAACGCATAGAGCTTTTAGAAAATTTTAAATAAGAAGAGTATAAAGTGGACATTTACGGGAATTTCTTTTATTTTTAAAAAAGAAAGGGGGTATTCAGCAAAATATGGAGCGTAAATTCCACAACCCTCAAAAATAAAACTAGAATGGGATGTCCAACATAATAAAAGCCCTTCAATGAAATGTAACCCAGACCGATTTGTAGTGTCTAATAAAAAACCCTAGTTGTTCTCTTCTTCCTCGGCAAGTCAGCAGACAGTGATTATGGACCAAACATGTTGAGTTACTTTGATGGCCAACAAGCCACAGCACAAAGCATGCAATCTCAAGACCTTGTGTGTACTTCAATACCACATTGAAGTATGTATTCTTTCCCAATTAACTGCATAAACTATTTATTAAGGAAACACATTATTATAACAATCATCAACGCAAATAATTTAAGTCCTAGAGCAAATAAGTTTAGCAATCTTCCGATTCTGCCCTCACACTACGCTATGTCAGGAATAATAGGTCCCTTCATTGTTACATGTAATCCAGTTCCATTTGAAAAAGGCAAGCAAAACTTTATATGAGATTGAATTATCAACCAAATAGTTACACAATGACAATGTCAAGAAGATGACTTATGAATATTATCCAAGAGGTCAAGTGTTATATTATAAAACAAAGAAAAGCTAAAGGTATGAAAAAAGAAAATACAACTCCAATTCAAATCTAATCTAATGACAGCTTAGCTGCAAAAATGGAATGAATGAACAATTGAAATTCAATGTAGCTGTTGTAGGCATGGAAATGGGTCGGGGCGGGTACTGCAAGACCCAGACCCGCCCCGTGACTTGGCGGGGAGGGTCCGCCCCACCCCGTGACCTGCACGGATCCAAACTTGTTGACCCATGACCCGCCCCCGCCGTAACCTAATTAGCTAGTATGTATTTTTATTTGTGGGAAGTTGTTACCAATTGAATCTACATAAACTTTATCTCTAAATAATAATTAAAAATTAATATATTAAATCAAATTCATGATACGCTAAATATTTCAAAAATTAAGGAAAAATTAATCTATTTAATTATATTAATCATTGAATTATATGTATTAAAATGCTATATACTTCGTATAAAGAAGACATTGATAATCCATCATTCATCTCATTCTAATATATATTAATATATTATAAGATCAAAGCATTTATCATTTATTGTATACACACATATGTATGTTGAAGTATATTTGTAGTATAATTTAAGAAAAAGTATGTATACTTATATATTGAGCGGGTCGAGGCGGCACGGGTCAATTCTAATACCCGGACCCGCCCCATTGTATAGGCGGGGCGGGGCAGACCCGCCCCATTTGCAAGACGGGGCGGGGCAGACCCGCCCCAAATGTCTCGGGCCAGGGCGGGTCATTGCGGGTCGGTTTTTTTTTACATCCCTAAGCTGTTGGCAGTAAATATCAAAACCCAATAGATGGAATAACCTGAAATATAAGGAGTAACTGTGTGTACCTGTTTCCAAGTAACAGAGCTCTAGTTCATCGTATTCACGTAGAGCATCTTCATGGAGATGAGCTATCTCAAACATAAAGGCTAAGCTTTCCTATAATAGAAATAACCATATTTTAGGATAAAATAAACAATAGTGTGGATTGCTGGATGCAATAAGCGTATAATCAACAAATGCAATAGAGCTACTTTCTCCCAGCTATTAAAAAAAAATAAGATTTAAGGTATTTTGACAGAATTAATGAACATCAGTCTGTCAGACCTTAAAGCCTCTCAAATGTAAGTACCAAAGACCATCTTTATTCACATTAAAATGGTTAATTATTGAAAATCAATAAGACCGGTGAAGCCTAATGATCTATACAGTACAAAATGAGTTAGTTACAACAGAACCAGGCAAACAAACACTTCTGCTCCCAGGGAGCTAAAATCTGAGATAGAAATCAGAGTAAAGACAAGGTCTGTAAGGTAAACATTACAACAAAACCAAGCATATTAACTATTAAGATGTTTTCAAGCATAGATGCTGCAATACCAGATATAATTCAGATTAGCAAATGTTATAACTACTTTTTACCTTTAGAATAAAGAAGTTACAAAAATTCCAAACCGGCATGAAGCGCTGTTCACTGAGCTTTCTGATTTCCTCCTCATAAAACTGAATGCGCTTATCAAGTGTATTTCTTATGCATTCCATGACTTTGTATTCCAAATCCTCCCAAAAATTTGGATCTGCTCCATGCAGATCCAGTTTGCAGCATCTAAGGAAATCATATGGTGAGGAAGTTACGACTTAAGACAAGTACTATAGATGTAATACAATTATCCTTTAAGCATATATTTCAGAAGAAATTTCCAGATATGGATATAGACGTATAGTACCATTTCATCCGAAGGCTATTATTTTACTTCGAACTAACAGCCTTGAACTAAACCAACGTCTAAATATATTATTGATGGTTGCTTTGAATGGACAAAGTCGTAGAATATTCAAACTCCCAAAGATGTGTGAGTGTTTCAGAGAACTGTTGAATTTAAAACATGACCGATGTCTGTCTTAGGCAAAGAAACTAGAAAGCTAGTTCAGTGTACCAGGTATCATTAATTATATTGTTACATATTTGGTTTGACAAAATATTTCCAAGTAGTTATAGTGAACTATGGAATGATGCATCTTCAGAGCGAATACCAATATCATTTATTTCCCATTAAGAATAAGAGAAAGAGAGAGAGAGAGAGAGAGAGAGAGAGAGAGAGAGAGAGAGAGAGAGAGAAGCATTGGAGTAGAAAACTCCTTAGCATACACCTTACAAAAAAATGAATTATTACTATTGAAGCATGCAGTTGATAAATAATAATTATTTGATACGCTTTTATGCCTTCAAGGCACCGATGTTTGCCCACACGAGTTGACTGGATTTCCCCCCTTTATACTTTTATTTTGAATGTCCTATCAAATGAAAGTATTTTGACGATGATGAAGCACATGATTTGCATTCCCTGCTCTATACCATGATGAAATATGAGATTCACCTCAACTAAAAGCCTATGAAACATAGAAAGTTCCCACATTTTTTTCTTTTTGATGGGATTCCGTGATGAAAAAACAGTGCCTTTTAAAATCTTTAAATCTTTTTAGTGAATTTTTATGGGTTTTCTTCATAGCAACATTGTCATATTTCATAATGCAATTCATTTCTAGGCATGTATTGCATTGTATGTTTAATATGATGTACTAGTATGTAATAATTTCTTTCTTCGAACATGTAGATTATATTTATTAATATTTATAAAAAAAGTTATATGAAAAAATATGTGCTCGTATATAAATGAAAAAACATGAATACATATTTATAAATATATCCTTATATTTTTATAACACTTTTGAGTTCCCTCACGTTTCGTATCTTATATTTTTTCATAAATCCCATTTCTCGAGTATCACATTTCATGTTTTCTATTTCGTGTTTCTGTGCTACTTAGCTAAAAGCTTAATGGGGCCGCTTCATCCATCCTATTTTAAGTCAGACTTTTCTTTTTAAGTTTTTCTCATTGGGAATTGATCATGTACGTAGTACGTAGTATTATTTAGTTCCTTAACACATACAAAATTGATCATGTACGTAGTATTATTCAGACGAAGGGATACTAAACATCAATAGTTTTAAGTGGATCAGTGCTCTAAAATTAGCTAGGCCCTAGATAGAACATGGGGTTTTACATTTTTACTACGGATAAGTGACATCTAGCAGTCCTAGCACCCAAGAGTCGCCCAGGAAGGTGTCTAGGGTTAATATTAGATCACTGATGTCTATCAACAAATATAGTGGTTTCTTTCTATAGGAACAAAAAGGTGAATAATGCCAACAGTACTGTTTACCTTTCCCTTTTCTTGGAGCTAAATTCAACCTCAAGTTTGGCATAGACTTTTTTGGCCATCTTGGTGGCTTGGTCATTGTGAGCTGGTGCTTTAGACACAAACACAATAAACCATTCCCGTTCATCATTTTGAACAATTAACTTCAGCCTTGGTTTGAGAATTGTCTTAAATTCATCCAGATCCTAGAAATAAACGTGACAACCAGTGCTTATGAGACATGGAGATGAAACAAAAAATAGAAAACAGGTTACAAGAAACAGTTAGACGTGAGAATAATATGCGCTTCTAGCCAAGTTATCACTGCATTCTATTTTGAAACTATGTTCACCATAGCCCAAACAGTTAAACACAAATTATATTGGGAATAAGGCTTGGATGTTATTGTTTTTGTTGTTCACCATAGCCCAAACACAACCTCCACCGCTGACATTGTGATGACCAACCACCCTAATATGGGCTACTTAAGCATTACAAAAATAAGTCTTTTTGGAAAACCACTAAGCCTCTTTATCAAAATAGAACACCGGGGGGGGGGGGGGGGGGGGGATAAAAAACAAAAGACTGAAGTTTTTAGTAGGATAACTTATGCTTGACAGAGAAGAATAGCTGGTAATGTGGATTGTGGTACTGAAAAGAACGATGAGGTAAACTAAAGGATATCTAAAATCAGATCCACCAGCTCGAGGAAGAAATTGTTACCCTACCTAACTTACTCCAAAACATCCAAAGCATGCAGATAGAGTGTTAATTTGGAAAGTGCATTGTGCCTCTGTCTAACAGAAACAGGATGGGAAGAAATGTCAAGATTCAATAGTACCTCACAAGTGACTAAAACAAGTGTAGCATATGGTTCTCTGAACCAAAATAAAGATTGCTCTTGTGGGAACCGACTGCGGAGTCTTGAATCTGTGGTCAATACATACTCAGCACGGAATTCATCCACAATAACCGGATTTCGTGTCTTGTTGTTTAGTAAGGCTCTTTTGAATGGAAAACGTTCTTCAAACTCATTTCTTACAAGGGGCCACAAATCAGTCACATCTTCAACTGTGAATCACAAACAAGAATTATTCAATTAGAAGTGTAAATGATCTACCCAGTGTGCACGTCATGAACCGCAACATGATGCAAGCACTAAATTGCTTGAGATAACTGCAGGCCAAAAACTCAACAATTATAATCTCTTTCCTCCATAAATTGCTCCACTTCAACACACTAAAACACTGGTTTCAAGCTTTTGCCTGACAAATAAAGTACCTCAAATGTGCCACTAATAGCTACGAATTAGGGATCAAAATGCTAACTTAGCCTAACATTTAACTTTAATAAAACAATTTGCAGCAGACCAGCAGTGGCATTCAAATTCGAAAAAAACACAGATGCTCGAATAAGACAACATAGTTTATGGAAAGGCTTTTTGAAAAATTGAAGTCTGAGCAGGTAAAGAATATGTGTATTACCCGCAATGACGATGTGATCAAAAGTGTTTTTTATGCTCTGGAACTGAGGCAAGAAATTCGCCATAATTACAAATAGGCGGAGACCATGAGCTGAGAAATTTGCAACGGAGTTCTTGTAGTTTTGACACAGATAATTATGAAGTAGAGGGCGGGTTTTGAGTGCACCGTGAAATGAATATGCGCCGCCTATGCTTTAGATTTACCGGCGTACTGTAAGCCTGCTAGCTGCCGGTATGATCCAAATTTTGATCGGACCTTCTCCGCGCGCCGCAAAGAGTACTACTGGGCCACCCACATTTTCTCAGGCTTCGACAATTTAATCCTATGCAGTGTGGTGGGAGCAAGTACGAGTATTAGAGTTTTTTGCTAAAGGAGGGTAGTCTCCAATCTTATTTCCCAATTAAGGGTACTTTTAAACTTATTTACCAAATGAGGGTAGTTTTTTCCTTGTCATCCAATTTCCGCCACATCACCTACTCCATATCATTCACCGTCATCAATCATTCCACGTCATCAGCCATATGGGTATTCTTTTAAAATATAAAAAAGAAATAATTACATAAATATGACCAAAATAAAGATGATTTACAGAAATATGACTACTTACTAGAGTAGAAATGAAATCATAGTAATTCATGTTCAAGTTTTAAACTTAAGTTACCAAAACACTACGTTGTAGTAATGAATAGTCATATTTATGTAAATAAGTTTTATTTTAGTAATATTCTTGTAAAAAACTCTATAAAAAAATCCGTAGCCCCCGGGAATTGAACTCACGACCAAAACAATGGATTTGCATCTTGGAACCCACTAGGCTACATTGACTTGTTGGTACAATCACACCTTTACAAATATTTAACATCTATGTATACAACGTATTTTGATATACGCAATTCAAATATAATTTAAAATAACTCTACATTAATTAAATAAAATGAGAAACAAAAATGACAACGGCTGGACTAATTCATCCCATGTTTAATAAAAGAAATCTTATATTACTAATGCGTAAACGTGTAAAAATATAAATTCCATGACAAAAATAAAAAAAATCCAACACTGAATTACAATTTTTTACAATCACAATATAAGTATTTTACAAGTATATTGACATTTATTTGACATATACTACATACTATATATTTAAGCACATGACATCACCAACTTAATTCATATATTAATCGTTCCTTTAGAGATATATTAGTCATTCTTCAAACAATTAAAGAATATGATAACATAACATTAAAAGAAGAATATGATAAATACTTAATTTGAAATATACAATTAAAAAATTAAAACTCAATTAAAAATTATAACAAAAACGTAATTTGATATATGTTATACAAGAATAACTTAAAATAAATCTACTCTAAAAAAAATTAAAAAAAATGTCAATATAGGCTCAAATCCATCTCAGACTTGTGAAATACTTATATTATGATTGTAAAAAAAATTGTATTTCAGTGTTGGATTTTTTTTAAATTTTTGTCATGGAATTTATATTTTTACACGTTTACGCATTAGTAATATAAGATTTTTTTTATTAAATATGGGATGAATTAGTCCAGCCGTTGTCATTTTTGTTTCTCATTTTATTTAAATAATGTAGAGTTATTTTAAATTATATTTGAATTGCGTATATCAAAATACGTTGCATACATAGATGTTAAATACTTGTAAAGGTGTGATCGTACCAACAAGTCAATGTAGCCTAGTGGGTTCCAAGATGCAAATCCACCATTTTGGTCGTGAGTTCAATTCCCAGGGGCTACGGTTTTTTTTATATTTTAAAAGAATACCCATATGGCTGATGACGTGGAATGATTGATGACGTGGAATGATGTGGAGTAGGTGATGTGGCAGAAATTGGATGACAAGGAAAAAACTACCCTCGTTTGGTAAATAAGTTTAAAAGTACCCTCCTTTGGGAAATAAGATTGGAGACTACCCTCCTTTGGGAAAAACTCACGAGTATTATTTTCAGTCTAATTACTCTAGTCTATGCACAAATAAATTGTTAATCCAAATGTTTGGATTAGATGAGCTTTAATCACAAGACACAACATCAAAAATTGAGCAATGTTTATAATACAGGGTGAATAGTTAATGGGTAAAAGTGCGCTCATAAGTGTTAAAAAATATTGTCAAAAAAATAATGATTCAAATCTGGAAAAAAAATAGGATTGGTTAAAAAAAATGTAGTGAACGTTATTTGATGAAAGATTAATGTGACGACGTATGTGATGACAAGAGTGGGCATGGGAAAAAACTGTGCACGAAATATCTTAAGGAAAAATAAATATTTTTATGTCACCCTAAAAGTGTACTTTGATGTTCTCTACTACATTAAAGTACATTGTATGTTAGGGTTGTCTTTAGTCAATAAGGTACTCCCTAATATGTGTCTAGTAAGAATGATCATTTTTGTTCATGCCAAATGATAACACTGTGTTACTATTTTTCATTTAGTGCCTATTTGAATTTCCAATGTGTTGTTTCTTATCGTATACCCCCCCCCCCATGGAATAGGTTCTACACTATCAAAAGATGCATATTGTCGCACAGAAGGTCATTTTACATCTTCCACATTTGGAGATCATTGTGACGTACGAATTAATGAGTTAGAGCCTAATTAGGAATTGTTACTTACTGCGCTAAGATAATTCATTCTTAACTTCGTGTTGCCTTCTCGCACTCCTCGTATCGACAACCCTTCAATATCAAATACTAATTTAATCAGAATGTAGATTATCACACTAAAAATGATTTGATCTTGTGACGTGACATTGAAGTTAGTAATCCGTAGTATTGAGTAATGGAAGCGTGTGGTTTTACATGAGCTATATGTGATGGATCATACAAAAATATATGGCATATGAAGTTTTTGATTTAGATTGCAAGCAAATGATGGATAATGTGTGCTCAATCTGCATTGAGTGGTTTGGGTATGAGTTTTTATGAGTGTTTGTAGGTCATATTAGGCACAAATAATTATTTTCACTTTTTACTTACGACAAACAAATAGTAATGCTCGTGTTTTTAAGAGGTTGTAGGTCATATTAACTATGTTTTTTATCATAAATTTTCACTTTATTCCATATTGTATTCGTAATATTATAAAAAATGCAATGTATTGAACTTTTTGTGTCAAGAAAACCAACTTCTAGACTGAATAGAGAGTATTCGTACGGAAATTCCTCATAGCATAAGGGAGTCGTTGCCTTATGATTAATGTTAAGAGTATATTATTGAGACAATCATGTGTGGTGTAGGAAATGATTATGTATAAGGTTGTTGCCAAAGATAGTTTATAATTTAGCTAAGCATGATGTACTTGTATTATATATTGACCCAAGTAATGAATGAGAGGGCAAACATTCATCTTAACTTAATTCTTTACATGCATGGTATGGGAGCCCTAAGGCAAAATTTCCCCGTTCCTTTTCATGGCTGGCGACGACGAGGCTCCTCCACGACCTCCTTCTCTAGCCATGGATAGTCATCTCCTTTCTATCTCAGCGGCGACAACTGCCTAGGGGACTTTATTATCTGACATGTCTTTTCCATGACAACGACGACGACTGGTCTGTTAATATTCGAATGGCTCTTAGTGGTTCCATTACTGCAATAACCTCCATACACCATGGTTGAATGGACTACTATCAATGCAATGTCGGTTTCTCTTATCACTAGCATAATTGGTTTCGGGGTAAAATGTAACACCCCGACCCCGTAGGGCTTGAGGTAGTTACTCTTAAATACTCTACAGACTTCTGGCATTGTCCTCACAAACCAACACAAGCTGTTATCACACACTTTGTCCTCACTCGTGCGTACCCTGGGAAACTTTTCAGGGAGTCACCTATTCCAAAACTACTTCCGAGCAAGCACGCTTAACTTGGAGTTCTTAGCTAATAAGCTCCCTAAAAAGAAGATGCACTTTGTTGGTATGAGTACTACTATTGCCAACAACAACAAAAAGTAGTACTATTAATCCTTTTAAACTAATCTCAAGTATGACATAAAACCCACCCTTCTAAATTTCGTGAGGGTCTAGTCTAAATTGTGCAAATTTCTCTGTGATTATCAAAACCGTCTTGCTTCCAACGTCTATAAAACAGAAGTAAGGCCATTCAAAGAAGCTATGAAAGATGCAAATTGGCAAGCATCCATGTCTGATGAGATTATGGCCTTAAAGAAAAGTGGATGTGGTTCTTAGAGCCCCTTCCGCCCGGAAAACGGATCCTGAGTAGTCAATGAGTATATATCGCATCAAGTATAAGTCCAATGAAGAAGTAGAACATTTGAAATCTCGCATAGTTTTCCTAGGTAATCATCAGGGGACTGCCATTGATTATAATGAAACATTTGCACCAGTTGCAAATATGACCATTATTTGTGCCTTTCTTACTATCCTTGCCTCTAAGCATTGGAAACTCCATCAAATGGATGACCACAATGTTTTTTTTAATGATGGTCTTGATGAGAAGGTATGAAGCTTACACATTAGATATCATTTCCAAAACTGATCTTTTGGGTGCTAAGCCTAATACTTGTTCCATTGAGCAGAATCATCAACTTAGTCATGCTACTGGGCCAGTAATGGCGGGTGTCGCCTCTTAAAGAAAACTTGTCTCATATACCTATTTGTTACTCGTCATGATTTGGCATATACATGCTCCTTGTGAGGAACATTGAGATGATACCCTTTGTGTCGTGTGTTACTTGAAATGCATGTTGGGATAAGGTATATTATTACGAGCTCATAGTGATCTATCCCTATAGGGTTGGTGTGGTTCAGATAGGACAGTCTGCCTAGTCGCTCAACGACCATTTACTGGTTGGAATGTGTTCTTAGGTCAATCACATGTCTCTTGGAAAATCAAGAAACAACACACAATTCTCTCATCTTCTATATAAAGCTTAATATCGATCTATGTGGGCTATATAACATGTGAATTGAAGTGGTCAAAAGATCTCTTCCTCATTTAGGGATGCATCATCCTAAGTCTATTCCATTGTTATGTGACATCCACTTAGCTATACAACTTGCCAATAACCCAATTTTCCATGAGCAGACAAAGCATATTGAAATTGATTGTTATTTTCTGTGTGGTGTTATTCTCGACGGCCTTACGTACTATTACTCCCTCCTATGTACCTACCGAGGCTCAATTGGCTGATTTCCCTACAAAGGCATTACACAAACCTCAATTTGATCTCATTTTGTCCAAGTTGGGTATTCTTAATCCCTCACCCCATGCTTTAACTTGTCAACTTGAGGGAGAATGTTAAGAGTCTCTTATAGAGAC